AGTTTGGGAGAAAGAGAGATGTAAGAGATGATTCAGAAATGTTCAGAAATAGAATTAGTTTGGGAGAAAGAGAGATGTAAGAGATGATTCAGAAAGGTGCTTATCTGGGTAATGGCTACACGGTTTTTTAGGCTACAATTTATCTAGATGAACACTGTGCCTTTTTCATTAAGTCCCACGAAGTCTTCTGATCACAGCAGGCTATCTTAAAAAATGGCACTTAAAGCCATACACTTTGATAACATTCGCTCTTATGTATTAATCATCCTTCCACAATGCTGCTGCAATATTTTGGAAGAAGGAATCAGTTTGCATTATAAATGTTTAAAATTAATCATTGCCAAATGGAACTTACTTTACAAAGAACAGGTAGAGGACTCTGACTCTCAGTTTAGGTGCACGGAACAAGCATGAGACTGATGCTTTGATCTGGGCTTTATCCAACTCCTCCTGCATGGTGGATCTCAGAAACTTCAACGACAAAGAAAATAATGAACATTTCTGAGATGTCAATAATGTTTCAGGCTTATTGCCAACTAAAAGAGGAGGAACAGGACATATTGCCCACAATCTTCAAGAAAATTTCTGTGTGGGGTGAATGACACCCTTGTCCTTATTCGATGGCTGGTAGTTTCAGGCATTTGGAAGAGATGTAAAGCCCCACTCATAGAATTCTAATTCTGGAAGTGTAGTCACCTCAGGAATCCAGACCAGTATGACTGTAAAGCCATATTTTCATTTCACCCTTGTAACAAATTCCCCTTCCAGATTACCTCAATGGTCAAGGTCTCTTCAATATTCTTTTTTCCATTTATATGTGCAACTCTTCTAAGTTCCTTCAAGCCCTCATCTAGCTGATTGTTGATAATCAACCACTGAACAGACTCCACCATCCACCTGATAAAAGAAGGTAATATAGGCAGAGTAAACAACTGTTTGTTTGTCAAATACCTTTTAACCTGAATTTCCTTTTCCCTATCATTTAATATAGACTTTATAAATTGCAGTAGAGTCAATTCTAACCAAGTCATCCTTCTTCATTGGCGTTCTGAAAGGAAGAGTGTATCTGGCCATCAATAAATGTTTGTTCAAGTTCTCACATTATAGAGAAATGTGAAAAGTGACCATATCATATAAGTCAATATTTGCATTCCTACAAAAACCAACCCAATTCAAAAATAAGCAAAGGACTTCAAAAGATATTTCTCTAGAAGAGATTTACAAGAACTTGAAAAGATCCTAATTAAGATAGTTTTGCCAGACATAGAATTCATGTTGGAAAGCCTTTTTTATCAATGCTTCAAATATCTAATCCCACTATCTTCCACCCTCCATATTCTTTTCTTTTCTTTTTTAATTAAATCATAGCTGTGTACATCAGTGCAATCATGGGGCACAATGTGCTGGTTTTATATATAATTTGAAATATTTTGGGGGCAGAGCCAAGATGGCAGACTGCAGCCAGCTTTTTACAGAAGCTCCTGTCCAGAAGGAGGCTTAAAGGACAGCAGTTTAGCAAGTTAGCTGATTGTTTGGAGCAGAGCCAAGAGAGAAGATTGAACAGCGCACTTCAATCTTCCTGGGATGAGCTGCGACCCCCAAAATACAACCAAAAGGTACAAAATCCACCACCAAGTGGACGGGAGTCCCTTCCCCCACAACAAGGGCTCACAGTTTACTCCATGTAAACAAGTGAGCAGAGTTCAAACTTCCTCCCACTCTATCCCACGGGAGAGACCCCTTAAAAACTGGACCTCCTACCTCTGCTGGCGTGCCACGGGACCCTCTGAAGACTCCTCACCCCTACCCTGAGGTCTGGAGGTTTGTTACCTACAGAGTCCAGATTCTTGGGCATCTCCTTGAGAGAAGTGGAGGGGGAAAGGGCTGGTGCTGCTCTGTGCTGACTGTGGCATGGAAGTGAGGAGAGGAAGGTTGGATCGGAGGAAGCCATATAGCAGCAGTGGCATCCTGAGCTGCGAACTGATGCCATTCCAGATAGGCAAGCCCCATCTCTCTGAGCAACCAAGAGGTTCTGGGCAGCAGCCACAGGCCAAATGAATGGACTTGGTAACTTTTGTAAGTGAAGAGACAATTAGCACCAGCTCTCAGGGGAATAGCTGAGACAAAGACAGTGGCGGGGCAGAGGTTAGAATTGACACCCGAGTATAAACTCTAATTTGCTTCAGGCTCAGAGTTGAGTTATTCACCAGCTCTAGAAAGCCTCTGAGTTGCAGGAGAATTTAGACTGGACAGAAGGTGTGAGGCTGTAATGGCCACAACTTTCAAAGCATAAATTCTTCCCCTGACGGACTGGACTCAGATTTCCCAATGAGCACCTTGCCCTCAGGGGAATGCTGAGACAAAGGCAGTGGGTGGGCAGAGGCAGGGATTGACACCTGAGTGTAAACTCTAATTGCTGCCCAGGGTTGAGTTGTTCCTCAGCGGTAGCAGTCTTTGACGTGCAGAGGAATCTAGCTGCAACAGAAGGCAAGGGGCTGGAATTGAGAGAATGTTCACAGCCTAATTTAAACACGCAAGGTCCCCCTGCTGGACGCAGATTCCTGGGTGATTTTGGCAGTTGCAAAGCCAAGAACAGTTGTCTACTGGAGTGAATAGGGTCACAGACCTAGGGGATTACCAGTGAATGGATGCAAAGTGGGGAAGGAGGTACTAATCTTCACAGACTAACTCATCTTCTGGGTGGGTCCCTTTGTCCTCATGGAGCACTGGAGCAAGTTATATCTGAGCTGCGAGCAGACCCCTCTTATCTAGCTGCTGGGAACATTTGAACTTTTCCACCTGAAACAGGTGCTCACTGGGACAACTGATTTTGAGCCCATAAACTGGGCAGACCACCCCGGGACTATTCAAAGGGGCACCCTGGGTATATGGTTGAGGGTAGGTTTGATTTTCCTTGCCCAATCATTGTTTATGGGGGGCAGGGCGATTTAATTGCTGGTATTTCTCCACAGCTGAGACTTCAACCAAGAGAAACTGAATCACTAGGATAGGACAGAGACCAGCTGAAAATAAGATGGAGCCACTTAACCCCATCACACCAAGCAGGTCCCCAGTCTCTCAGGCCGTAACACCATACAGGTCCTTGACAAACCTCAAGGGGAAAAGCCAAATGGGGTAAAACAATCATGGGGTGGAATCAGCAGAAAAGCTCTGGTAATATGAATAACCAGAGTAGATCAACCCCCCCCACCAAGAAAGGATGTGGCTGGTAGTATGAATAACCAGAGTAGGTCAACCCCTTCAAGAAAGGATGTGGCAGACAAAACTGAAGATACCCTATATAAACAGATAGTTGAGATGTCAGAAATTGAATTCAGAATTTGGATTGCAAATAAGATTAACAGAATAGAGGCAAAGATAGAAATAGAATTTCAAGGAGCATTCCAAAAGTTCACTCAAGAATTCAACTAATTCAAAGACAAAACCACCAAAGATTTTGAAACATTAAGGCAAGAGTTTGCAGCCCTCAAAGATCTGAAAAATACGGTAGAATCTCTTGGTAACAGAGTACAAGAGGCAGAAGAAAGGATCTCAGACATAAAAGACAAAGCTTCTGAATGTGTCCAAACATACAAGGAGAATAAAAAAAGGAAAGCAAAAATGGACCATTCTCTCAGAAAGGTCTGGAATAATTCAAAGAAAACAAATATTTGCCTCATAGGAATCCCTGAAGGCGACGAAGTTGTTTTGCAAAACACAGAGGCTCTTCTGTATAAAATTATGAAAGAGAACTTTCCAGATATGTCAAGAGATCCTGAAATTCAGATTGCAGACAGCTTCAGAACCCCAGCATGACTCAACCCGAATAAGACATCCCCCAGACACATCATAATTAACTTCACTAAAGCTAATATGAAAGAGAAAATCTTGAAAGCAGTGAGATGTAAGAAAACCATAACCTACAAGGGGAAGAATAGAATAACTGCAGATCTCTCTGCCAAAAACTTTCAGGCAAGAAGAGGGTGGTCATCGACATTTAATCTCTTAAAACAAAATTACTTTCAGCCCAGGATCTTGTATCCAGCTAAACTGAGTTTCATTTATGATGGAGAAATTAAATACTTTAATGACATCCATGCGTTGAAGAAATTTGCCATAACTAAACCAGCCCTCCAGGATATTCTGAGACCTATTCTCCATAATGACCAGTGCAATCCTCCACCACAAAAGTAAACTAACTCAGAAACTATTGATCAAACTCCAACTTCTACAGTGGTGAAAGGATTGAAAACGTCCACTGGACTTTTGAACAATTTGATACCTAATATTTCATCAGACTTATCAATAAATTTCAATCAATGTGAATGGCTTAAATTGTCCCCTAAAGAGGCACAGATTGGCTGATTGGATACAGAAACTCAGACCAGACATCTGTTGCATACAAGAATCTCATCTTACCTTAAAAGACAAATATAGACTCAGGGTGAAGGGATGGTCATCTATATTCCAGGCTAATGGAAAGCAGAAAAAATCAGGTGTTGCAATTTTATTCACACATACTATATAGGTTTTAAACCAATAAAAGTAACCAAAGATAAAGATGGCTACTTTATATTTGTTAAGGGCAATACTCAATATGATGTGATCTCAATTATCAATATCTATGCACCCAACCAGAATGCACCTCAATTTATAAAAGAGACTCTAACTGGCATGAGCAACTTGATTTCCCCCAGCT